TAAATCATTGTATGTATATGTGTGCGTATTTCTGTTTGTGTGCGTGTATGTACGTGTTTGTGTTTGTGTGTGTGCGTGCGTGTAAATGTGCAAGTGTATCGAATAAAAATCGGAATTTTAAACGAAATCCAGATAAAAAAAGAACGAACAATGCGTTCCTATGCCTAACCTGACATTGTAATCTTCTCTCAAGCGGGAAAGATCCACCTGAAGCAGAAAAAAAATATCTAATTTAAATTTTTTTAAAAGGTTTAAATTCATTTCATAATTCAACTCTTTTTCTAATGTATCATTCAATTAATTCTTACTTTCGGGATACCTCAGGGTTCTATTCTTGGCCCTCTTCTTCTTCTATTTATACTCTATACTTCTGTGCTACCTCGTATTATTAATAATTTTTCTTTCACTAGTCAGCTATATGCTGATGATTCTTATATTTATATTTCTTTTCCTCCATCTAATCTCAATAGTATTCTTCATAATCTATCTCTATGTCTTTCTTCAATTGTCGCTTGGTCTGACTCTATGTGTCTTTTAAACTTAATCCTTCGAAATTTAAATCTAAACGCTCTATTACTATTCCTCCTATTATTTTACCTGATTCTAAAACTCTTGATGTCTCTCACAAGTTTCGTAGTCTAGGCTTTATCTTTGATTCTAGCATGTCTCTTTCCTCTCGGATTAGCCTAATAGTATTGCTAGAAGTACTTAGTATTTAAATCTTAAATCACAAAATGTATTTTACTGAACAATTTTATTTACGATAAATAGAGTATAAATTATCATTAGAAGAACAATCTATTTACATATATTCCTTCATATGTTCTTTCTTTCACTAACTAATTCACTCATTCACTAACTAATTCACTCATTCATTCACTCGTTCATTCACTCATTTACACGTTCAAACGATTTTTTTTATCACGATAAAATAAAACCGAACGTACCTCTTTGTAGAAATTGCTGAATTTGCAATGACAGAATCAAACAGCCTGTAACCTCAATGAACATTGTATGCAACATACATACATACATACATACATACATACATACATACATACATACATACATACATACATACATACATACATACATACATACATACATACATACATACATACATACATACATACATACATACATACATACATACATACATACATACATACAACATACATACATACATACAACATACATACATACAACATACATACATACATACATACAGACTTACATACGTACACCTTATATTTATGAATGTAAATATACTGTGTTTTTCAATGCTATACTCACAGCATGCTACGTTGTTATCCTATTTGTTTTGTCATAAATAGATGCATGTATGTATGTTTGTATGTTTGGATGTGTGTGTGTTTATAAACACACACACACAACACACACATATATACATATACGCCAATTGTATTTAATAGCTAATAGGATGTTTTATGGTCCTCTCACTTTTAAACTACACTAGCTAACTTATTATTAATGTCATTACTGTTGTTGTGTTGTGTTGTTGTTGGCATTATTACTGTATTTGTCGTCACCAAAATCATTCCTTTTCTTCTTCATCTTGTTATTATTATTCTATTATTATTATTACTATTAATATTACTATTATTACTACTATTATTGTTGTTAATTATTGTAAATTTGTCAAAAATATGTGTTTAATTAAGGTTTTGATCTGTCTCTATTTTTTAATGTAACGCTATTGATGTTGTCGGTGCTGTCTTTGATGTTGCTGATGACGAATATTCACAACTGCACAGAATCTCTTGTCGAAACCGTCACGAATATATCTCAAAGTAGCAATCGACGAACAAAGAAGTTTGCTTGAGAACTCTTGATTCAACCCTATTGAATAATTATTCTTACATATTGTTTAGCTACTGAAGTTAGTGACGTCCTTTTGCTACAAAATGGCTAGATGCACTGGTATATGCGTGTGTATGTGTGTTTATTAGTTACTTTGTTTGCCTGTCTGTATGTATTTTTGCATATGTGTGCCTATGTGTAAGTACGTATTTGTCTTTGCTTTTATGCCTTTTTCATGTCAGTTTGATAGTATGAATTTTGTGTACATTTTGGCGTTTTTCCTATCAGTTTGATAGTAAGAATTTTATGTACATTTCGGTGTTTGTATGTGTGTATTGTATTGTATTGGATTGTATTGGATTGTATTTCATTAATTGTATTTTTAAAATCACCAATACGCATATATTTAGAATACAGAACATTACAATGCAATATAACACAATGCAATACACCTACGTGTGTATTTATATTTATAATTTTATAAATTAAGGTTTTTTTTATAACTAAAACTATTTATTTATTTTTAAATTCCTCATTAGTCAGAAAAAGTCACCTTAAACGAACTTAACAAGTAGGTTCAATTTGGCCCCTATCCTTAAAACATCCACACATCACTGTAAACCAAACATGAAACTAATTTCACAAGAGCAAACTTTAAAAGACGAAACAAAATGAAAAACTATTTAATTAAATTTAGAAGACATTTTTTACTAAATAAAAATTTCACTTTAACTTTACTAAACCGTTCATATTCGCGGGTTGTCAGTCCGGAAACGCTACGAGATGACTTACCGAGTGAGGCCCAAGTTGTGATAGGTGGTGGGGGACTTCTGGGCTGCTCCGTGGCCTACCACCTCGCCAGGTCCGGAATTACGGATGTCGTCGTGCTAGAAAAGGGAAAGTTAGTTAAGATGGTCGTCGTTTGTCTTGAAAATTTTTGCAGTTTGAATAAGTGTTTGGCTCTTGTTAATTTTTTTCCCATTTTAATTTGTTTGGGTTGGGGTATGGTATGGTAAGTTAAGTTGTCAAGGGAAGGCAATGTTACACTTTAATTTAAAGTTTAAAGTTAGTAACAGTTAGGAAATTGTTTTCAAATAAATTGAAGTTGTCGTTTCTCTATATTCATTGCATTAACATTAATTATTACCATTATTTTTAATACATTAAATTAAACTATTGTTGAATTGTAATGTAGTAATTTAATGTAATGTTGTTGTAATAGTAATTGTAAAGCATCTTGAGAAAAACATCATAGCATCATCATCTTATCACGGCTCATACACTGCACATATCATACCATATTATAATCACATCCACATTGTGTGTTCAACATTGTCTTCACAAAATAAATGGTTTCCACGCTCCAAAAAAATTTTCCACTAACTTTATTACTTATTAGATTGGGGTGTGGTACGACCTGGCTAGGGTCAGGGGTCGTGGGAAGGTTAAGGTCATTGATGCCTGAGATTGAACTCGTCGACCAATCCTACAAGCTTTACACACAGCTTCATAATGATGGCTATGATATTGGTGAGTGAATGAGTGAGTGAGTGAGTGAGTGAGTGAGTGAGGGAGTGAGTGAGTGAGTGAGTGAATGAATGAATGAGTGAATGAATGTAAAATGGATGGATGGATAAAGGATGGATGAATAGATAGATAGATAACTGGATGGATGGGTAGATAAGTTGGCCGATGAATATATATCACTCATTATCATCACTGCTGCTTGCTTTTATCATCTTACCATCATCAACATCATCATCGTCGTCATCTTCGTCTTCGTCATCATAATCAGGGTATCAAGCAACTGGTTCCTTGAATCTCTGCAGAACTCCAGATAGAGTGACTGCCTACAAGAGGAATCTTTTACTAGCTGAGTAAGTGATGTCGACGATGATGATGATGTTGTTGATGACGATGATGATTGTGGTCATTGACCTTCGTGGATGACGTCACTCAGGTCCTGTGGAGTGGAGGGCGAAATGGTGGATGCCAAAACGCTGGCACAAGAATTCCCATTCATGAAATGTAATGATTTGCTGGTTAGATTTTGTGTTAGATTTTGTGTTAGCGTGTGTGTTAGTGTGTGTGTGTGTGCGTGTGCGTGTGCGCGTGCGCGCGTTCGCGATCCTCATCATCATCATCGTCACCATCATCATCAGGGGGCCATGAGAATTCCAGGAGATATATGCATTGACCAGATGAAGCTGCTGAATGTTCTGGTCGATATTTCTAAAAGTCTAGGTGGTCACGATGACGATGATGAAGAAGAAGATGATGATGACGATGATGGTGATGATGATGATAGTGTTGGTGAAGTAGTTATGATTATGATGGTGAGGACGCTTGTGAAGTTAAATGATAATGATGAGTGGAGATACTGAAGCTATGATGAATATGGTCGTGAAATTATGACGACGAATAATAAAAACTAGGTAATAATAAATAACAAGAATAATAATAAATAACAAGAATAATAATAACTAATAATAATGATGATGATAATAATAATAATAATAATAATAATAATAATAATAATAATAATAATAATAAACAATAATTAATAATAATAAATAATAATTAATAATAATAATGATAATAATAATAATTAATAATAATAAAAGGGGTGAAGTTCGTCGAGGGCTGCCAGATAGGTCAGGTGCACGTGAAGTCGCGAATGGTAGCCTCGGTCGAAACTGACCACGGCATGATCCGGTGCGCTGATTTCGTCAACTGCACTGGGCAGGTGGGTTTATTATTATTATTATTTTTATTATTATTATTATTGTGACGTCATCATCATCATCACCACCACCATCGTCATCAGTGGGCCAGGGAGCTGGGCAAGCACACATCACCGTACGGCATCAACATACCCGTTCACGCCTCACAACTATCTGAGATGCAGACCCAACCTCTGCCCGAGCTAAAAGAGCTGTCCAACATGCCACGTTCGCTGCTGTTGTTGTTGTTGACGTCGTTGTTGTTGTTGTTGTTGTTGTTGTTGATGACGTTACGATCATTCCACAAACTTAGATGGCAGTTGTTGTTGCTGTTGTTATTGACGTCGTTGTTGCTGTTAATGACGTCACGATCATTCCACAAACGTAGATGGCAGTTGTTGTTGTTGTTGTTGTTGATGACGTCACGATCATTCCACAAAAGTATATAGCAGTTGTTGTTGTTGTTGATGTTGATGACGTCACGATCATTCCACGAACTTAGATAGCAGTTGTCGTTGTTGTTGATGACGTCACGGTCATCCCATTTACGTAGATAGCAGCCAAATGCTCCGGCCAATACTTTCATTTCACCCCTAATTTCAGTGGTTCGGGATTACGACGGTCACGTATACTTCCGGGAGATGAATGGCGGAATTTTGGGGGGTGGATTCCCCCCGTCCATGAGGCCCCTCTTCCACGATGGCATACCAGACAATGTTCAGTTCAAGTTGCTACCAGAAGATTGGGATAATTTTCGTTAGTGGTTGATTGGTTGATTGATTGATTGACTGTTGGTTGATTGGTTGGTTGATTGATTGATTGGTTGATTGGCTAATTGATTGACTGTTGGTTGGTTGATTGATTGGTTGGTTGGTTGATTGGTTGATTGATTGATTGGTTGATTGATTGATTGGTTGGTTGATTTATTGATTGACTGATTGATTGACTGTTGGTTGGTTGATTGGTTGGTTAATCGATTGATTGGTTGGTTAATCGATTGATTGATTGGTTGACTGTTGGCTGGCTGGTTGGTTTACAGATTGATTGATTCGCTTTTTCGTCGTCATCATAGCAATCATCATTTTTCACCATCCTCATTATCAAACACAGACGTCATCTTAGAGCAGCTTCTTCACCGCTTGCCACTCATCTCTCGCCTCAAGGCCACGGAGTTGAGGACGGGGTACGACAGTTTCACCCCCGATGGAAGGCCCATTTTGGGGGTTGTGCCCGAGGTTGAATGATGATGATGACGACGATGATGATGATAATGATGATGGTGATGACGATAATGATGATGGTGATGATGACGACCTTTCTATCTAGCATCCGACATTTTTTTCCATTTCCAGTTACTGAATTATTTTGTGGCGGCGGGCTTCAACTGTGCAGGAGCGGCCATGGCTGGAGGCGTTGGCAAGGTCATGGCAGAGTGGGTCAAGGACAGGTCACCGAGGTCAATCAACTTGTGGCCCTTGGACGTCAGGAGGTTTGTGGGCTTGCATAACAACAGGAAGTTCCTGAAGGAGAGAGTTACAGAGAGTTCACGTTAGTCTGTTGTCGTTGGCTGTGGTTTGGCGAAGGGGTGGCACTTGTAAGGGGTAGTTGTAAGGGGATTTTTAAATTGTAAATTTTTGGGGTTTTGTGAGTTTTTTATTAAAAGTTGGTACTGTCGATATGAATCATATCGCTAGGTTGATTTCAACCTTAGATTGTTGTTTAGTGTCTGCTTTTTAGAGTGTAGAGTGTTGGGATTAATGTCAGTGCCTCCATCAAATCGAGCCACATCTGAACGCTGCAGTTGTAGTGTCAGGTATTCCATACTGGGAGGTGGACATGATTGGCTACGACAGCGGCAGACGATTGCGAACGTCCGCCATCTTTACTCGAAACGAACCTTACGCCGTCTTCGGCCAGATCATGGGCTACGAAAGGCCTCTCTTCTTCCATACCCAGGGGTCAGAGGTCACTGATGATGACCTCGATTCGGGGCAGAATATCTGGACCATGCCAAAGCCGTCGGCCAGTATTCATGGAATTCATTCGTGTGAGTTGTTTGAGATTGGATGATTGATTGGTTTGTTGGTGAATGCTTAATAACAACAACAACCTTAACAGACCAGCTTAACCAGTCAGGACTGCCTCCAAAGGGCTCCTTCGGCAAGCCCCCCTGGTTCGACAACGTGAAGAGCGAGTACTGGGCATGTAGGGAGGGCGTCTGCATCATTGACATGTCCACCTACTCCAAATTCGAACTAAGGGTTTGTTCGTTCGTTCGTTCGTTTGTTCGTTCGTTCGTTCGTTCGTTTGTTCGTTCGTTTCTTTATCATTGTCTTTATCGTCTTTATCATCGTTATCATCATCATCGTCACCAACTTAGCCATCATCGTCGTCGTCAACATCACCATCATCATCATCGTCACCGTCTTAGCCATCATCGTCGTCAACATCATCATCACCATCATGCAGTCAACAGGTCAGGAAGTGGTGAAGTTCTTGCAGTACATATGCTCCAACGACGTCGACAAACCAGTCGGCAGTGTCGTGCACACAGGTGCCACTCTTGCCTGTTGTTCATTTCATGTGTGACTCGTTCATTGGTCCATTCATTGTTTGATTGATTGATTGATTGATTGGTTGGTTGGTTGGTTGGTTGGTTGGCTGGTTGGTTGGTTGGTTGATAAAATAAATGATAAGTGAATGAATGAATGAATGAATGAATGAATGAATGAATGAATGAATGAATGAATGAATGAATGAATGAATGAATGAGTGAACGAACGAATGAATGAATGAGTGAATGAACGAGTGAATGAAAGATTATCATTTCGTTTACTCTCTGATTTCAGGAATGCAGAATGAAATGGGCGGATTTGAGAATGATTGTTCAATAATCCGGCTGCAGAGTAACAGGTTGGTTAAAGGTTAAAGGTTAAAAGGTTAAGATTAGTAGACTGGCCGACCAACCAACCAACCGACCGACCAATGATTGATACCTACCTACCTCACCTACCTACCCACCTACCTACCAACCGACAGATACTTCATGATCGGGCCGACAGTCCAGCAGACTCGGTCGTACGTCTGGATGCGTGACCACCTGCCCCGAGATGGGTCCGTCCAACTGACTGACGTCACCTCCATGTACACGGCCCTCAACGTCATCGGCCCCAAGGCACAGGAACTCCTGTCTGAACTCACGGATCGATCTCTAAAGAAGAAGGATTTTATGTTCATGACGCATAAGGTTGGACTGAAGTGTAGTGGTTGTTGGTGGTGTTTGGTTGGTCGGTCGGTTGGTTAATTTGTTGGTTGGTTGGCTGGTTGATTGGTTGGTTGGTCGGTTGGTTGGTTGATTGGTTGGTTGTTTTGGTTGGTTGGTAGGTTGGTTGGTTGATTATATCTTTTTATTCAGCTTAATCGTTACTGTAATCATCATCATCATAACCACTTGAATTATCATCATCATCATCATCAGGAGATCAACCTGGCCATGGCGAGTCACGTGAGGGCCATGAGGTTGACCCACACAGGGGAAGATGGCTGGGTCCTCTACGACCTCAGAAGA